CAGTTTGCAGCAGAATGAGCCTTCCCTGTTCTTAAGTTTCTTATGTTTTTACAGGAAAAAAAGAGAGCTCCCATTTCAATGCTTCCCTGTAACAAAATGTTCTAAATTTACCTTTCGTCCTTGCTGGCTCCACTGCCAGTAAAGGTAGATGCAGATTCTGTAAGGACTAGCAGAACTGCTCCCTCCCTTCACTATATGACCACGTAAATAATGCCACTGAGCTTTTTAAAGATTCTGAGGATGAAGGGCATATTTATTCTAAATTGTGAAGGAGAGCCATTGCTTGAACAAAGCAGTTCTTTTAAAAGTGGAGGCAAATCAAATTTATTTTGATCATTTCGGATTGACTTAGCTCTGGGCTACCTAAAGATGAATTTCTTAATATAAAAAAACATGCAGCTGTTCAAAACACAGCCATGAATTTTGCAAGTTAGATGCCTAAAAATTCTACAACAAAGAAGCGGTGCTCAGACAATAGGTGGAAGGTGAAGAATGCTACTATTTCTTCTTTTAGTATTTTAACTCTAGACCTTAAAGATGTAAAAAGACAAGTGTTGGGTGTGTGGGTGGGGCAGGATTCACAAAGGAACATCAAACAGTATGTCAAAAGCATCATGCAAATTAAAATTAATAATGACACTAGTCAACATTCTCATCTAATTAATTTAATTTATCTACAAATGGGTGTATTGTTCATCGATTCCTTAATTCTATTCAGCTAGAAGGTTGGGTAGAGATTCTACAGTGTTTTTAGGATTCACTTCTATTGCAGGCAATGGAGAAGCTGTGCTTTAGGTTCTGTCCCTGAACCCGATCCCCTCTCTGTCCTTTATTTATTGTGTGACATTGAATAAATTATGTGTCCTTTCATACTTTCATTTCCTTTTTAGTGTAACAGAAATTGAGTGGTGATTCACAGAGATGTTTTGGGATGATTGCTTTGAATCTTTTCCACATGTTCGAAATACCCAAAGAGGTTTTAAAACCATCAGGGTAAAAATAAGCCTGTGCTTTGTTCAGACAGTACACTTTTACTGTGATGTACAATGTCACACGGAGGACACTTAAGTCTGGCTTATTTCAACTTCTGCAAGAGCCTGATATAAGGGTGTAGTTTCATTGGTGAAAACTTTCCCTATAACTATCTACAGAGAATAAAAGATGCAAAATCATTAGAATGGGAAGTGTTTTATAAGAAGAAACAAAGAACTTAGTTTGTTTTTTGTACAGCCATGAAAAATCGTGTTACCAAAGTAGCCACAAGAACAATATCACTCAATATTCCCCACTAGAGATAAATTTTTCAAGAATTCAGAGACAATCTATATAAAAGACTAACATCACCAAGCTCATGGTAAATAGCACTAATGATAATTCAAAACCATTATTTTGGCAACAAGAAACTTTCTTAGCTTCTCTATGGCACAGAGGACCTGGCATACAGCATGTGCCCTGGAAGCTTGCTTCTGGTGTTGCCGAAGGATAAGGATTCGAAGCATAAACTCACCTGCAGTTGACACCAAGGCTCAGAAACAGATGTGTCCTGTAAATCCAGGTCAAGGCTCTTCAAGCTCCAGAGGAAACCGGTCTAACATGGACTTCAGATGAACCTCCATGCTCAGGCCTAGATGCTCCATTTAGAGCTGGCACCTCCAGGTGCTGGCCAACAGCAGAGCTGTTGAGAGCTCTGAGTCATCTCTGCTGTTCATAGTGGAGAGCGAGACACTGAATTAGATTCCTAAGCAGCAACAACAAAATGCCACACACCCAATAACTTAAAACAGCATCAGCAGGTTATCCTACAGCTCTAGGAGTCAGAAGTCAGACAATAGTTTTGCAGAGCTAAAATAAATCAAGGTTTAGGCTTAGTTTCTGTCCTTATTCCAGGAGAGAACCCATTCCTTTGCCTCTCCCACCTTCTATTAGCCTATCGCCATGTGTCCTTTCTATAACTTTTCAGATAACTTTGATCTCGTGACCTCTGTGTCCAGGATCAGCTCTTTCTCTGACTCACTTGCTGTCCTTTCTCTCTCCCGGGAGCTTCTGTAATCACCCTGTCCTCACCTGAGTGCTCCGGGATAACTTTTCATCTCAATAATCTTTCACCTAACAGTATTTGCAAAATCCTTCTGCCACAGGACATAAAACATCTTTAGGCTCTAGAGGCAAGGACTGGCCACCAAGCTCATCTTGGGAAAGAAAGAATGAAGAGCTGAGGTTACAGAGGCTGAAGGCGAGCATAGCAGGCCTGATTTCAGATTTCCCAACTTCTTTGGATGGGGTTTGCATGAAATACAAGGCAGATGAATTTGTGAGCCTGTAAATACCAAAATAAATAGTTGCAGTTGTTTACACACAAAAGAAAATTCTTAGACGGTATTTCATAGTTCTTTTAAAAATCAGAAATAAGTGGGTTAAATTCCTGTTTGTTTTTACTTTTCCCGTAAGAAAGACAGTCCCTTATGTAGGTCAGAAGCACCACAGGCCTTCTCTAACCCTCCTGTTCACTCTTGTGCTCCAGCTGCAGAATGAGTCTCCTGGCTTCTTTGGTTTCTAAACCTAAACTGAACTCAAAGTGTTCTTATCAGAAAGTAGAAATCTACTTGGCCAGGCCACCAGCACCAGGAAAGGTGAGAAGACAAAGGCCAAATTTCCCTAGCCCCCCACAACTCAGAACTGAAGTTTTAGATTTACTGAATTAAAAAAAAAAGTGACTTGCGCCCTAGTTTCACTTCCTTTGTTGTGATCAAATAACCTGACCAGAGCAACTTTAATAAAGAAAGGATTGATTTAGTTCAGGGAGGTCAAGATAGAAAACAGCTACTCACATCCACACCGACACCCACACCCACACCCATACCCACACCCACACCCACATCCTCATCCACCCACATCCACATCCACATCCACCCACATCCACCCACATCCACATCCACCCACATCCACATCCACATCCACCCACATCCACCTCCACATCCACCCACATCCACATCCACCCACATCCACACCCACACCCACACCCACACCCACAACCACATCCACCCACATCCACATCCACATCCACCCACATCCACCCACATCCACATCCATATCCACCCACATCCACATCCACACCCACATCCACATCCATATCCACATCCTCATCCACATCCGCCCACATCCACCCACATCCACATTCCAACACGACAATACCTCCTAATCCTTCCTCAACACTCCACTAACTGGCTACCAAACATTCAAATAAATGAGCCCATGGGGGCAATCTTATTCAAGCCCCTAGCAAAAGATTAACCTTGTTGGACTGTTTATACGGCATATTAGAGGAATGGAGAGGGTCATTAGACCTTCATCTGTATATCCACCTGTTATGCACTCCTCTGTTGTAATTGCACATGCCTTGGGAGCGGCTACAGTATATAGGCTGGGGAACAGGAGGGGAGTAGGGATCTATGTGACTACAGGGTCGTCCTTGTTGGGTAAACGGTTTCAGGTTCAGTTTGTTAGAGTAACAATATCCACACTCCTGTAAGTCACCCCTCACCTATGCTCAATAAGGAAGCCTGATAAACTTAGTGATTCCTCAGAGGGAAGTTCTGCAGAATTGTGCCTCAGTTTGATGTTGGGATCTTAAGGAGAGGGGTAGATGCTGCTTAAATCTCTACTGAGAAAGAATTTTAGTAAGGGTATGATCATTTAAATATGTCAATAATGAAGTTGGAGATACAGCTCAGTGGCATAGTGCTTTCCTAGCATGAATAAGGGCCTTGGTTTAATCCTAAGCACCACAAAATAAAATAACAAAACACAAACAGGAAAACAGTGGAATAGAAAACATACTGTGCTATCTAATATTCTATCCTTAGAAATCTTGGAACCTGGAATTTCCAGCTACTGTCTCTCCACTCTTTCTTAGGCTCTTCCTACCTCAGTGATGGCAAGCTTACACACACAATCCAAAGCCAGGAAGGGCCCAGATGCAGGAAGATGCTGATTTATGGACCAAAGTTTCAATGCATGACTAAAGCCTTGACATCTGGTTTGGAGTACAGTTCCCAGTCTTCACAATGTATCAGAGAGGAAGAAATAATAATGATTTAAGCTCTGGGCTATGTTCAATGTGGCATGTGCAGGCACTGACAAGGAAGAAGTACAACACTCTGCTTCTAGGGTCTTTGCCAAGGGTAGATTTTAGCAGTCACTGATTTTAATAGTACAAGCCATCACATAGGACCAAACATCAATCAACTTCCTTGAAAACTTTGCCTTTTAAAATACTTGTAGGGGTGGAGAAATATCTTCAGGGTTATGAGTCTGTACAGCTCTTGAAGATGACCTACTTTGGCTCCCTGCATCTAAGTAGGGTTGCTTACATCTACCTCAGGGAGAGCCAATGTTTTATTCTAGCTTCTTCAAGTACTGTACTCAAGCAGACAACCTTCCCCCACATGAACACATACTTAAAAATTTTAAATGGAAAGATATTTTAAAGTAGTTCATTGACCATAATTCCGAAAAGTTCTTTATAAATGATGAGCCTGATTGGCTAAACATCACAGCAAAAGTTAGTTGCTAGACAGTTATTGGTGTCGGAAGAATGACTAGAGTATAAAGAGTAAATCAGGAGCCCCATGCTGTATTAAAGCAGACGGCCATTAAGGATGACTTCAGTTGAATTTGCCTTTAATTCTTACCATAAATATAGAACATATTAATAATCCTACTTTGTTCTAATTATCCCTCTCATGTCTTCCCCTTTTCCTTCTTTCTCCACTGCTCTATGGCTACAGTTTAAATTCTGAGGCTAAATGGATAATAAAAAGGTTTGAGGATCCCTTAAAGACCATGACCCCACTTTTAAGAAATAATTATATATGATTTCAAAACATGTACAGTCCCCTTACTCACTGGGCAACTTGACACCATTGAAAACCAAATCATTATAACAAGCTAAATAAAGTGTGTTAATGTTTAAAAGAAACTCACCTCTTCTGTCACAATTTTCGCCCAGTTTAAAGGTCAACATTAACATGTATGGTGGGAAACTGGAACAAAAAAAAATCATTCCAAGAACATTTACATTTTTGACTTGTAGAAAGAAAACTATATACAACACCATGATATGCATAAAATAAAATAAATATTCAAATTTACCAAGGAAACCTACCTAACAATGGTCTCTGTGTGGAAGGCATCATTACCTGTATAAGTAAAAAGGTAGTTTTTATTTGGGGATTGTCAGAAATAAGTGGCAAAGCGGATTAGAAGGAAATAAAGTAAAACACTCATGGGAGAGAATAATCAAGTATCCACCTCAGAGAATCATCCCCCGTTGTGAACTGTGCCTCATATCTGTCCCAAGACACACCATCTCTATTTTATTACTTCCCATGCTGCTAGAATGAATGACACCAAATGATAATTTACTGCCAAGCAGGGCTACTTATCTATCTACCTGTAGATTACTCTCGAAGTACAGATGACAAAAAGATACTTTGTGAACATACATTGGGGACATATGCCTTTGGATAATTTGGTTTAAAGTATTTTTCTTGATTGGGAGTTGGGTGGGGAAAGTCAAAGGAAAATAATGTGAACACTTCAGTGATTCTCAAGGACTGGGTCGTTCACAGTAGAAATAGTAGTGTCCCATAATGGGTATGGTAGCATTCTGTGGGCATGGAAAAGTCAAGAAAGATGTGATGGGATATCAAGAATACTACAAAGAGCTATAAAGTTCTCAAAATCCATACTTGTTTTTTGCCTCTCTCTCTCTCTCTCTCTCTCTCTCTCTCTCTCTCTCTCTCTCTCACACACACACACACACACACACACACACACAGTGTTTCCTCCTTTCATTTAAGTTATCATTGCTCCATAATTATCTTTCCACTTTACCAGGTTCAGTAGAGTTACTTGTCAGGTACGCTTTCCCAGCCTCTATGTAACCACGGAGAGAATAGCGTGGATTTCCCCTGGGACCTGAGCCGCAGTTCAGGGCTTAAAACGCCCAGTGCCAATCTCTAACAGGTCTTCCAGCCAAATTTGGCTCTTCTGTGTTCAGAAACTTCTTCCCAGATTCTTCCATCACTGTTCCTCCTTCTCACAAGGTCAGAAATGATATTGGGAATGCACACGTGGAGCCAACTGTTCCCAGGTAGACTCCATCAGTGGATCTAACATAGACATCAGGAGGAGCAGCACGGACCGGAATTTCTCCAAGGCCGTGACTTCCAGCTCAAAGCTGAAGCCTCTCCTCAGACGAGACCATCAGGGCAGGCAAGCTAGCAGTCTGTTTGGGTCCTGTCCCCTTGAATTAGGCTGTATTTACCACTCTGGCAGTCTTCCACTTACTAAGGATAGACAGGTAGGCACGGCTGGCAGTAACCAATCCCTGTATCTGGCACACTCCCTACAATGGCTAGCAAATCCCAGAGGCCCAGGACAACCAGTAATAATATGATTATGACTTTACTGGTCTCGGGTCCTGGAAGAATCTGAGAAGAAAAAGGATACAGAACTTGGACTTAATTACTCTGCATTTACCCTGTATTTGGCTCTTTTGTAGAAAGAAACCTGGGATCACATCAAATCTTAATGGAGAGACTTCTTCACCTTCCTCTTAATCAAAATATCAAGTTTTCTCCTCCATTCATTTTTTTTTTCTTGTGTCACACAGCTCTTACCTCGAAATGGTGGATACTTGGCACGGTGAGGACAATTCAAGTTTGGCAAAAGAAAGCCTGAGAGTTTTCAATCAGCTAGACCAGGAAAACAAGCAATTATCTGAAAACTTCTGACCCCCAAATCTTTTGTGTCCTGCTCAGCTCAAATACCTCAGGTGAAAATAGGACTTCTCCTAAATTATCTCAAAATGGCTTTTGTTGCTCTGTGCTTTTTTTCCGGGCTGAAAGGCATTTCAGGCAACAGAGAATCTCGGAGGACCATTGTCCCATTCAATAGGGACTCGTGGGCTTTCTGAGACATTAGTAGGATTGCACCGAGTTTCTCCTCTCAGGGATCACTCCTCTCAGCTCCAGCTCCAGCCCAAACTGTTAGGAAAGAAGACTGACTGGTATGACAAGAACAGACTCTGTGGCTGGAGAGACCTGCTGTCCTGTTTCTCGTATAAAAGAACTCTGGAGAAGGTTATCAAGATAGTCTGATAAAACAACGTAGATAGACCCAGGTTGTCAGGTATGGCTAGGAAAGACAAGCAGTTCTATCTAGTTTTCCTGTTTCCCCACCTGGCAAGGATGGCCATACATCTGTGTTTTCCTATGGTGTTGGTATAATTATTAACAGTACTCCAGATGTGTCTGTTAGCGCAATAAAATATAAGCTTGCTTCTGCTTCCACATGAAGTTGTTTTTTGACCCTGTTCTGTTTGGTTCTCTTCCTGGAACCCATACTCTGTCTTTGTTTGGGGACTGTAGTGGCAAGCAATGAAACAGGTCAGCTGAAGCTGAGGAAGGAGTTTCTGGGAAAGGCACAGAGGAAGTTCACAGAAGGTTGGTCCCCATGAGGCCCAGACCTCTGAAATGCAAGTTACTCTTTTATCTCTGAAGATCCCTGTGTTCTCTTGATTGCTTCTCTCTGTATACACACTTTTGTGTTCTCAAAGACTGGCTTTCACCTCCGAGTGGTCACCATCATCTCTAGCCTTGAATCATCTTCAGTCCATTGACAAACCTTCCATTCTCTTAAAAGAATTTTTAGGTTTCTCATGAACACAAGTACATTCAAAATCACCACCTTGGGCCTAACATCTGCCTGTGACTAAGTTAGCTGTACCAGGAAAGGAGGGAAGGAGAGAAGAATGGAAGGAGGGAAGGAGCAAGGAATTTAGCATGTCTCTCAGATGAGGGTGTGGGTGAAGAATGAATAGATGGCAGAGAAGATGGCTCTGTAGTAATGTGCAACTTTTGTTCTTTTGTTTTGAAAGACAAGGTTTCTCTATGTAGCTCTGGCTGTCCTGGAAACTGACCCTTGCCTTGAACTCATGAGATCTGCCTAACTCGGCTGAGATTAAAAGCATGCATCACCACCACCCTGCTAGTAAAGCCACAGATTCTTCCTAAGTCTTAGAGACACTTGTCCACTTTTGCTCAACTGGAATGATTGTCACCCTCCAAGAATATAATCAACCCTGTGCTGGGGGACATGTAAGATGGGGAATGTGTAAGGTGATCACATTTGGCAAGACATGAATGTTTTATCAATCTCAGTGACCAAGGACCTTAAACTTAGACTTCCCAAACATTCCCAGAGAATTCTTGTTTAGTACTCTGGGACAAAGTAATACAAAAATTCTCAAATCTAGCTTTTACAATGAGTTCACATTTGCATTTTACAAAATCTAAGTGTCTGGATTTATATAACTTCCGTCTGATTTTGGAGTGAAAACACTGTTCTCAAACACTTGCTCAGCTCCTATATAATTTTACATTAGAGATGTTAAAGAAAAGACTTCAGTGAGGTTACATATGTCAGCTTACACACACACACACACACACACACACACACACACACACACACAAGGTTACTTTCATCCTAACTTTTTTTCTGTTTGTTTCATATGTAAACAGATTCCTTTTCTTCCTCCTTTCTCTGTAACTTCCTCTTTTGGCCCCTTTCTTTGGTCCTGTTAGGGTGCTATTGTCTCTTTAGTTGTGTCTTAGTATTCTGGAGCCTCAGCATCAAGCTGGATTCCAAATGTAAATGAAATGTTTCTTGTATTGTCCCTGACATTCGCCTTCCTTCCGCCTTTGGATTTCACAAACCACCTGGAAGCAGGAAATGAAAGGGTTACCTACTTAGGAGAGGTGCTGGAGCAATGCCAGCATTTCAGGCTTAAAAGTATTTGACCACCCCCACCCCACTCCCATCCTCTTTCTTAGGGAAATCAGCAGGGACTCAAGGGATTCCATAGGGTGTTTCAGCTTACTCTTCCTGCTTGCAACTGGTTCTCATTCATCCCCATCTTTATACTCAGCTCTGGCTCAGTATAAAGTCCTGGTCCAGTGATCAGGCTCCTTTCTACATACATGGAAGTTATGAAGGAAAGTCAGAGGCAGATTTTTTGCCTCCTGTGAAAACTCCTGAATAACTTTGCTTTATATAGATCCACAACCTCCAGACCTTAGTCTTGGCATCCTAAGGGCTACATGCGTTTGGAGAAAAAAGTCTTCCCCATCCTCAGATAGGTTTGTCAAGTGTTGCTCGCCAACAAAGTCGCAGCATTTCTTTTGTCTTTCTTTTCTTTTCTGTTTTGATTTTTGGGTTTTGTTGTTGTTGTTGTATTTGTTTGATTGTTGAAAGAGAAAGATAACAAACATAAATTTGGGTGGGTAGACAGTTGAGGGAGGGGAAAGAATATGGTCAAAATATATTCTATGGAAAATGTTTTCAATAATTTTTTTTAAATGTGTGTGGCTACATACACAAGAACACAAAGACAAAGGCTCACCCAATGCTTTCTCTCCTTCTGAAAAGCTGTTTCAAAAACAGATTAAAAACACAATCTAGTAATTCCTTAAAGAGCCATAGATTCAAGACTACGTTGCTACGTACACAAGGCCAGCATTTTAACTGTTGGTCAGTCACTCATTGCTATCACACAAGGTGGAATCCTAAGACAGGAACAACAGGAAGGTTCACTACTTGTGAAGGGCTCAACATCATGAAGAGCTAATGTCTTTGTTCATGGAGAACCAGGTACTTACAAGCCAACCTTTGATACTGTAATCTTATTTAATAAACCAGGATAGGCATTTATTTTCAGATTCATGGGTTTTAGGATCAAATGAGTCTCAGTTGATATAAGCTGGGGTCAGCAAGGCTTGGCTTCAGGCTAAAAGGCAGGTACAGGGCTCGCCATGTGCTACTGACCCTAACTTCACATTGACTGGGCCATGGCTCTGTGGGAGAAGACAGAAGCTTCAGGGCTGAGCTGAATTGAACAAATATGTATCATGAATATGTGAGCCATGTTCATCCATGTCAAGTCAAGTTGTATAGCCAAACTTAAATTTAGTAGCAACTAAGGATTGTACTGAACCTCAAGAAAGGCGAAGAGTTGGCTATTTTGGAGATATAAATCTATGATGTCACATCAAATTCCACCATAACAATTCTTATCAATGGCACCTGGATGAAGGCTAGCAACTGGGAATTGTAGGGAAAACTAATGGTGATATAG